ACGAGTATTAACGTATGATTTAAATTAAGAAATAAATTTAACCTGATTTCTGCAATGCCAATACTATATTTCAGCAGTCTAATTAGAGTTCTTTTATGGTATAAAACCAATTAAAAACACATAATTCTTAATAACATCATGACTTTTGACAAAAATAAAAATTTGTTAAACAAGATATTTAGAGATAATCTATTTTATCACTATTATTCAAGTAAATGACTTTTATTAATCTGATACAAACTATAAACAGATTTTTATAACATCTTAGTTAATGTCTTATGATTCATTAAACACAGTTTTCAATATATGATGTGAAATATCTTATGAAAAATGAAAAAAAAAAATCGACATCGATTTTAAATCGAATAATCGTGTATGTTACACACGTATATATATTTTATATACTGTTGAAGAAACGTCTATACATAGTAAAAATAATTATATTTTACTGTACACTATTACAGAACTTTGGAATATTAAAATGTTCGATTAGGATTAAAAATATAAAAAATTTAGAATTTGAACAGATTACGTTAATCTGACTCACCGCAGACCACGTTTATATCTTTAGCTTCGGTGGAATACTAGATGGAGCCGAACCTGTATAAAAATATATAGCTAGAAGTCGCATGTGAACAGTGTTTAAAACATCCTTTAAGCTTTATTTAACACTAAAATAGATTCGGTAAAGCTCACATTTAGGTCTATAGATTTTTAGATGTACTAGATGGATCGATAGCGCTCTAAAACTTTACAGTCAGATGTCGGATATCAATGGTTCAGTAGAACATAAACAGTCTTGAAGCTTTATTCAAGAGTGAAATAGATTTGGTAAAACCCTAAATCATTTGTATTGTGTTTCTGATTACGCAATATATGAGCATAAGAAATGTTCTAGGATCCAATTTTTTCTATGCTCTCTAATAGGCTTTTAGAACAGATGATCTAACTAACTTCTATCTTATGCTATATACATGTGGTACTAAGAGACTGTAATCCTACATAATGCCTATGACAGTTCTGCTAACACTTCGTGACAGTGCAAGAACAAAATTCAACAACTTTCAAATAAATCAGAAAATAAAGATGCGCCCCTTTAAGTTAAACGTTAAATCTGTACTATATTACGCTTGTAAAACATGTAATTACATAGAAGTCCTCATTAAGAAGTTGTTTGGGTTGCATTCTTAAAATATGCTGACCTGAGAAAATTTGCCAATAAGCCCTCTTGAATTCTGACCTACCAACCGCAAGCAATATAAGTAACCAAAAAAAATAGGTATCAAAACGCTTAAAGTACTTATAAACAAGATATCTAGACAATTATATCGGTGAAACCCTCTGATAGTCAATCAAAAATATGACGATTTCTGGCTCTAACAAACTGTTAGATTGATGTTGCCTAGTATATGTGAAATGATATCACGGTAAACGCTTCAAATAGAATACAATTTATTTTAGTAGTAGAAACCTTATGCTAATGATAATTTATCCTACAGTTGTATATCTGTTAGAATTTTTATAATTTTTATAAATTAAACCTACTCAGTTCCATACAATCCTTAAATCATTATAGGTTGAAAGTCCTTAAGCGATTTCGATGATGATAACCCTGGTAGTTTTTACACAGAAGAAGTGTATCACCTCTTCTGAATGGGTAAGAAGAAATTTCCTCCTATCAACTTTAAATTACCTCCTATCAAGCAACATAGCCACTCCATTTCATAACAAGTTTATTAAAGCACTTTCTTTATTATTCCCATTTTATTTTATTAAAATGTAAAAGTTTATACCAAAAATGCATTATTTACTTTTTTAAATTATTAAATTGGCAACACTAATGCCACTAAAGAAAAATTGTAGAAATTGAGTTGAAACAAAAACAGGCAAAGGCATCCATTATAGGCTGAGAAAATTTTCTTACTCTGTGCGTCAACTGATGTTAAACTCTACAGCAAAGCCTTTAACAGGTATTTGAATTAACATTAATGTAAACTCGCAATAAAGTTTGTTTCTTAAGTCTTCGGTTTTAGTTTTTCTGACTCTGCTCATAACTGCATATAATATTAATATTTTTTTGCATTGTATACAATATGAAAACAATAAATATTAATGAAATTCTATGATTATAATAATAATTTTTTTATTACATATACTTAAATAATGGGAAAAAATTTCAAAAAAAAACAAAAACTTACCAAATTCACAATTTTACCGCTTTTAAATCAAATTTTATTAACACACACTTTTTTTGTACAAAAAATTTGACACACAAAATGGAAAGAAAACAAAAACTATTCAAAATAATTACAAAATCGAATAAACATAGAAAAATATAAATTATTTTAACATTAAAAAATGGTGATTAGCAAAATTTTTTACGAATTTACACAAAATGCTTTGCTAAAAACACATACACACATACACTGACACAAATCTGCAACTAAAACAAAACTTATAACCAAAAATCAGGAATAAAAACAAATAAATATGTAATGGACAAAGTTGAGCGTTGAGTTTACAGGGGCAACACAGAAAGATGAGATGCGCGTAGGCCTAACGTTACAGAGTCTCAAGATGTTACCAACAGCGTAAATAGCAGCGCAGCAGATACGAAACCGATTTGAAGACGATAAGCCCGAACTTTAAGCACCAAATTTTTTATATTATTTCTATTTTAACTTTATTAGTTAACACTTATTTGTTTTTGTATTTTTCGGGGAACAGAAAATAACAAAAATAAACAATTTTGCAATAAAATTATTGGAATACGTCAAAATATCGTAGTAACTTGTGAAAGATCCACGCGTAACTGAAGCATCAACAATAAAGCAAAAAAGCTGTTTACCCATTCAAGCGAAGAAAGCGGCTAAAGCAACATGAAAATGAAAGCGAAATGAAAATGACAATAAGCAAAATTAAAAGAAATTTTTTTAATGAAGTGTAATAAACACAAGTGGAATGTGTAGAGAAAACAGATAATGATTCAAGTAGGCAGTGGGTAAAAGAGTAATTACAGGGGCAGCACCAACATTGCTACCTAAAGTACACAGAGTACAACAGACACACAGTAAAAATTCTTAAAATGGTTAACATTGAAAATGTTTTGTACAGAAATTTTTGGTGAAATTATTTTCTCTAACAGTTCTGTAAATCTTCTGAGTTTTTAGTTCTGTTAGCTGCCGAAATGGTTGTTGCTTATATTAATATATGTATTTGAGTTAAGTCAAGCATTGATTGCGTGCATCACTGAAACCTCTTCCAGGTTTATTTTTTTATTTGACTAACTTTTTTAAATTCTGTTACATTAAAACAAAAATATCTAAGTTCACATTTTAATAACAACATTTATTTTTTAAATTTTATTTATAAATTTTTTTACCTTTACATAAATTTTGCATCTACGCCACTGAAGTGTTATATGTGTTGTCTCAAATTTGCTTTGCAGTTTGTCGTAATTGCTTTCGCTTTCATCGTCTGGTTAGTAATTTCTTCAAGTGTAATTCACTTGCGACCGCTTACGCCTTGGCTTATTTTGTTTTACTTTTAGTAGTTGAAACTTATATTTTCTTAAATGTTTTTCTGTATTATTAATTATTGTTGTTTAGTAATTCTTAATTAAAATTTAATAACTCTAAAAGTAAACTTATTCATTATTTTTCACAAATATATTTTCAAGTTTAACACTAAAATCTAAAGTGATTTTACTATGCTATAGCTTTTTAAAGAAATATTTATATATTTTTCCTACCTTGGCGTAACAGTCTTTCAGATACCACCGACATTCTCAGCATTTCTTCTAGAAGTAATAAAGTTACTCTGCTTAGAAGCCTTGATCTGGGCAAGGAGGAAATCACTGGGTTGAGAACTACTCTTCCTTTCTGACCTTAGAAGGTCCTCAACGGCCGACATTCTAGCTGGCAATCAAAAGGCGGAATGTCTTCTGTTCGGTCAGAGTCTGTTGCAGCACAAAAGATCAAGCATGGTCGCAGTGCTCCGCTTCTTTGGGAGCTGGTACCCTGTTTATTCCTATTTTTAATGAAGTTGGTGTTGTTGGCCTGAACATTCAAACCGTCGGTGCGACTTTTCCAACTTAGAAAAACTATCGTGGCAAATGGATGTTGCCATATGTAAGAAAAAAAAATAGTTTCTATCAACGAACAAATTTCCCACGTCACTGTTGACAACTATAAGTTTTAAGTGATGAAAGATTTTGAAATTGAAAAGAACTGAGAAATAGAGCCCTCTTTAGACAAACAAAAAGAACATTCTACTAGTCTCTTACGATGCAACATACAGAAGGGTGCAGAAGCTTGGACAATTACCAACTGTGATAAGAACAGATTTATGCCAGAAAGCATAAGCGTTATATAACTTTCAGTTTCTGAAGTTTAACGACACCAACATAACTGCGATCTATCTTTTGGTAAATCGTTTTAATGTCATTACTATAAAATATAAATATGATATAGTTATCCATTTTTAATGGTAATATGGACAAGCGAAAGAAATAAATGTTTTACCACAAGTTATGGATTAATTGTTAAACTCTTTTACGCACTCAACTCTTTGTATAAAATATGGTATCTGAACATATTAAATAACTGACTTAATGGTTATTAATTAATTTATTTCACATAATATACATTTTAAGATCTTTATTATCAATAAAAAAAGAGTACTTGCAAATATCATTAAAATAATTTTACACACATCATTAACTTCAGACTTATAATATAAAATACGATATAATGTAGTTATATTATTAATTAACAAATATACACATCATAATATTACAAATAAAAAATTTTATACTTTATGTAACAATACTTAAATTTTACTAAGAAATTTTATTATCTATAACGTTTAAAACACAGACATTAAAAATTGATTTACATCCAAACTATGAATATGAGTCTTTGTACAAAAAGCATGGAACTAATAAAATCAGATTGTAAAACGAAAACAATAAAAAACCTATTAAGTTGGCTTAGAAACAACTACCACGTCTTACCACCTCCAGTGGCTGGTTTATGTGTGTGTGCAGCTGAACTTCCAGCAAATAAATTTGCAGATGCATGTGAAGCACCACCTGACGCTCCCAAGGCGGCATTTAATATTAGTCCAACTAAATTATTTACAACATGTGATGCAATATGTTTTATGAAAGCACCTGAATCTGAACCTTTCTCAGGAGGTTTTGCTGGAGCAGCATTATGATCCTTACGTTCTTCAGAAGCTTCATCAGAAGCTTTGCGATTTTTTGCCTCTAAGAAACTGCTTAAAAGATTTTGTGCAAATAACAATGGTCTAGGTGGTGGTTCATCGGTTTCAGGATCCTTAAAAAAAAATTTCAATTTTATTTTTGTATTAAAAAAAAATTTTTAAATTTTGAAGAAGGACAACTAAAACCATTAACCGAGAATACTGTTAGAAGCTAAGATATTAGTAAAGCAAAAAAGGGTATATAGAATTAAAAGATATATACTGCACTTAAAGAAGCGACAACTGTGCCTAAAAAATTTCCTATAAATTGTCCATTATTGATCTGAAAATTTGAAAAAAGAAATATTTTTAATTCTCATAGTTGGGAAATTACAGTACTTACAGCTCCACCGCCGCCAGATAAACCATCAAATGCAACACCAACATATTGGCCCAACACGGTACCAAAATTTTTATCACCCTATTAATGTAAATACTTTTATAATAAAAGACTTGTCTAAATAGTTATAATTATATTATTAATTAAAAATATTTCTCAAAACATTTATTTAAATTTCTGTTATTACTTACACTTAACAAACCAGCTATCAGTGATGTGCCTGTACCAATTAAGGATTCAACATCCAAGCCACCTGGCTAAAATACATATTTTAAATAAACTTATATCACTAGCATAAAAAAACTTACCCCGAATAATGTTGAAATAACTCCTGTAAGTGCACCAATCAAAGCACCTACATCAGAACCACCTTCGCCCTACAAATTGAAATTAAATAAAACAACTAAAACTATATCATTTTACCCATTCTTACTCACTCCACTTAAACTACCAATAAGGCCCACAAGACCACCACCAGGTGGTGGCGCACCATTAACTACAACTTCAGGTGACTCCTCTGAGTCACTTGGCAATTGCGGTAGGTCTGTTACAGTTGGAAGCTCTGGCACCTCCGGCAGTTCTGGCACTTCTGGTAGTTCTATTAGTACTGGTGGTTCCGTTGATAATTCTTGTTTGGCAGACTTTTGTACACCTTTTTTCTTCGAATTTTTAGTATTTTTATTACTGCTTCTACTTTTACTTCTGCTGGTATTTTTATTTTTGTTGTTGTTTTTTGTTCTATTTGACAACTTTAAGAATTTGTCATTATATGTATATTTTACTTAAGTTTTTGTTAGTAAACCATACTAAACCATATCCTCTACAATAAACTAAAGCCAACAGTACTTAACAACTTAACTTACCTTTTCATCTAACTCAAATGTGTCCTCAAATGAATCGAAATCGAAATCATCCTTGGATTTATCAATTCCTTTATCAATTGAGTTTGCTTGGGAGTTCTCTTTTGTCAGAAGAGATTCAATCATTCTTACTTCAGCCGGTACTTCACGATCACGTTCACTCTTAGCTGCATGTCTTTTACGCACTATTTTATTACTGGCTTTTGCCAAGAGCCCATCTTCATCTGCTTCTTCAATCAAATAATCTAATGTATTTTCAATTTTTTTATCGACTATTTCTTTCATTGAATTAACATGTTCCACTAATTGTTGTCTTAATGCAGCAATTCTTCTCGGTAGCTCATTCGTGTCTCCATTATTATCTGTCTTATTTTCTACACTATGCTTTTCTTTGGACTTTTCTTCATCAATTGTTTTATTATTATCACCTTTTGGTACTTCTAACACAGACTGTCGCATTTCAATTTTAAAAACTTTAATGTCCTTCATACCAATTGTAACATCCATGGCGCTACTTAGTATTTTCAGCGCTCTCTGATCACGTACTACCTGTTTTTCAATTTCTTCAACCTTTGGTAATATAACATCCTTATTCTGCTTATCAGGAGTGGAAAGCAGATCCTTGAGTGCCAGAGTCAAATGTTTTTCCATTTCTTTTTCGGTTTTCTGTGCACCATTCAGTATTCCAATAATGGTTATGGCACGTAAATCCTCACTTGGCACTTTCGACTGTAATCTCTTATAGGCCGCCATTGCACGTAGATAATTCGGATTCAGCTGTGCTTGTAGGACTTTACGTAATGGCACTGTGGCTATTAATTGTGCCATCACAATAACAACAATGAATATCACTGCTATAAAGGGTTTACGCATTTTTCCGCAGGATTGCAATAAATGAAAATATATTTATTGTTTAAGTTATTTTCCGTATTTTCGATTTTATGGTTGAATTGAAAAATTAATACTAAACCATTTTGACATTTTCCAATTCATTTTATATGCCATAAACCTCTTGATATATTGTGGGCGTGACAGTTGTTACATATCATATGACTTTTCTGTATCGAACGCAATCATTGTTTCGATATCTTTAATATTTTTCCGTTTTGCACTTCTTTGTAAATTCATATTTTCCTTGTGACCATATAACCTGAACTACAATATTTTTGTCACTAATTTTCTACTATTATTATGGACTTCATCATTGATTCACAGTTCACTGCTCATGCGCAATGCAATTGGTTAACGTCTCGGCTCATTAATTTTATGTTCACTTTTTTTCCGCGGTGGCGCTTGGGCTATTGAACTTCTTAACAGACGTGAAAAATTGAGTACGTCCATTCAAAAAACCAACCAAAATATCTTTACATTTACAGAAGAAGATCAATTGAAGAAACAACAAAATAGTTAACAAATATTTTGTTTTGTATTTTATTAAATAAATATCTTAATTAATAAATGGATATTTTGTAAGGTGTTCAACTTGACATCATCACAATTGCTCTCAAATTAAATACCTTTAAAAGTAAAAAAAGAAATTTTATTTAAAAATTTGAAATGCCTCCCAAAAGTAATCATAAAAAACCTTACTCAAAAAAAATCAGTGATAAAAAAAATAAAAACATTAATATAAAGAAAAGCACAACAGCCCTTTAAAAATTAATAGGATTTGGTTAAAAAACATAGAGCCAGTGTATAAAACTTCGAAACAACCTGAAGTTCATCCATAAAATATTGTGGTTCAACAAACCAAACTTATTAAAATTGATAACAAGTTTTCGGCTACTGAAGCACTCCAAAGCTAACGAACAGAACAAGTGAAACACCAGAACAACGTAGTGCGCATATTCAAATTGCTGAAAAAACAGAAAATATTCTCGCTATAAACTGAACACATTTAAGTGTTGAAATGTTTGTCTATAATTAAATTAACGATAAGTTATAGCTTAGATAATGATTTTATTAACAAAATATGTAAATTATCTAATTATTGTCAACATAGATGTTACAAAAAGAACATTTCATAATTCAGCTTCCACAGATCAATATATGCCCTTTAAAAAGACTAAAAAGACTAAAACTCTCATACATTTTGCCTTTGGTATCTCAATATATCACTGACAAAGACAATCATCACATATAGCTTGATTAAATTCAAAAGTGACTTTAAACCGACTTGATCTTGATATATATATCATCATCATTAATAGCGCAATGTTTCTAGTTAAATCTTGACCTCCATTAATTTTATATATATGCAAATATATCAAACAAGTTATGAAGTACAACCATTCATCATGAATAAGAGCCATGCATCCAACTTAAATCAAACATATATAGTACAATTAAAATAAACAAAAGTCAAAGTGCCAGCTAAGAATACCAAAACAACACAATAAATAATTAAAAAAAATATCATTAAATAAGTAATTAGGCAATACATGAGAAATATTATATGCCCAATGAGCTAACCTACTTAATTCAATTTACCCTTGCTAGGTAGTCACCTTGTCGTGGTGTAGGGGCTTATTGTGGACTGAAGCATGTCATATGGAAGTCATGACATGATGATTTTTCATGTGACATGATTCAGCACACAAACTAAGAACTGCCGCCAACGCACAGGTTGAAAGTAGGTATCTACGATTCCTGATCAGTCGTTGAGGCTAGCTAGTGGACTTTAATGGACACTTGCTAATTGGTCAGTCCTATAGGAAAGTGCGGCTATCTATCAGACCAATGACTCGCCTTCAGTACGGTCATGTCTCTGCTGTTTGTGGGTCGCCGATAGTCGGGCGGGGGAGAAGGAAACTCCCTAGGGCAGGGTCTGTACATATTCTAGGCTCCCAAGGCTAGGTCTTGATAGACTGGAATATGAACATACCTATTGCCCCAAACAAACCCCCTAAACTCACAGTGGAACAGCTATGCTGGTGAACTTGCTTGACAGGGTAGAGTCAAGCTTAATAGCGAACTCCGTACCAGGTCTGGCAAACCTACGGTTTCAATTTGTCCTTCCCATGGGGGCGCTCATGGGTGACCAACCTGCACGGTTTATTTAAACTTACTTTGTATGGAACAAAATAACATTTTCAATTCTATGGACTGCACACCTTTAAATGTGCAAAATATGGTTTTACAAAGCCAAAACTTATCACTGAACGAGGGGGCACCTGGTACCATCGTCAGTGAACAAATGGACCACGACTTGTTGGAGAGGGCACCTGGTCCTCTACCCGACAAGCCGGAGGAAATGGACATTCCACTTAGCCAAGAGTCGGCTGGAATGTCTATCTCCTCGGAACAGGAGAGAGATCTTCTGGAGCCTGGTCTAACTAAAAAGACTCAAACGAGGGTGAAGCTATCCGGCGCTGGACGCAAAAGGTTGAAGGCTTTACTTGCCAAGGGCATCCCGCTGGAAACAGCAAGGTCCTTGCGACTAACGAAGGGCAGGCAACACCAAAAAGATCCCGATCGGACAGCTCTACACCAACATCAAGCTCAAAACCGACAAAGCGGATTGCACTACAGGGCAAGAAAGTTGATAATAAATCAACAGTGCCTGCAACTGCTTTGCCGATTTTCAGTAGGATGAAGGAAGTAGAGACCTCACACGGGGGCAAACCTGGTCCCAGTAAAGAGGTGGCGACGGTATCTGTGGGGCAGGCTAAACAGAGTACTTCTTCCGAAGACCATTGTTCAAAGCCTACCCTAGCAGAGACTGTTCGCTCTAAGAAGATCGGTATACTACCGCACAATTTCCCAGAGGGCATTTGGTCCAATGAGGAAATTGGCAAGGTGCAGAAATGCATCCTCGACAAGATGTACGAAACTTGTCGAGCTCCTGGGGTGAAGCCTCATTTCGCCGGTTACAGTCTAAAGCCCGGATGGTTTACCATTAACTGTCTGGACGACGAGACTGTAACTTGATCTAAAGAGACAATCCCAGCCTTGAAGCCGTGGGAAGGAGCCCAGCTGAAGGTAGTGGACGAGGCAGAAGTGCCAAAGTCTGAAATCTTTGTTGGCTACTTCCCAGGCTCAGCTTCCTGGCAAAGCGACCGTATTCTGGGACAAATTGAGTGCCAAAATTCGGGCATGCGTGTCAGGGACTGGCGGGTACTCCACAGGCTCAATAAGGGCGATATCGTCGAGATGGCGATTGCTCTGGATCCTATGTCGTCCGAAATGGTCGGAAAGCTGGGCAATAAAGTCTTCTATGGACTTAGCAGTGCCGTGCTGAGACCAAGACATAAAGGAAACAGAGCAAAGGAAGTGGTTGAAGATGAGCGACCAACAACATCTGCGGCTTGTGCTCAGTCAAGCAACCAGAAGCCGAAAACGGGTCTCAATTCCGGGGGACCACCCTTGAGAGGGGGCAGAATCCGTGCCCAGGGTCGAAAACCTTCCGCTCTCTCTGGTCGTCTGAGGAAATGGGAAAGAAAAGACCCGGAGGCCGCGGAATTGCTGCGCGGTACAAAGGGCGGCAAGGTCCGCAAGGGCCAGTCTGGGATATAATGTCCCGGACTCCGCCACATCCGCAAAACTCTTGGAGGCAACTTCATTGCCTCCAAATCAACCTCCACCGGGCTATAGCAGCTTCATGCAGGCTCAGTGCCCTGGTGGAACAACACTGTCTGGATTTTGTGGCCATCCAAGAACCATGGGCCACAAAGGGGCGCATAAACGGTCTACAGACAAAAACGTGTAAGTTAATCTATGATAATAATGTTGATCGTCCTAGAACGGCGATAATGATTAACAAAACCATTAAATCTCTTCCAATTACAGAGCTCATACAGCGTGATCTGGTGGCGGTACAGGCAGAAGTGCCTAGTACTAGAGGGACGAGAATAATAGTTTTTGTATCTCTGTACCTCCCTGGCGACGCAGAGGAAGCGGTGTCTATCGAGCTCCAGCAGCTTACAGAATACTGCCGTACCCGAAACCTACAGTGGGTAATGTGCTGCGACGCCAACGCACACCATACAGTATGGGGAAGCACAGACATCAATACACGAGGTGAGTCACTTTTTGATTATATCACAACTAACAATTTAATGGTAGTTAATAAAGGTAACGAACCTACTTTTGTAAATGCGATAAGGGAAGAGGTATTAGATCTCACTTTAGCAAGTGCATTTATATCAAACAACATTTCAAATTGGAGGGTGTTAGAGGAGAACTCCTTATCAGATCACAAATATATACGCTTTGATTTGGAAGGGGAAGTTGAAGACACTTTCGAAATAAGAAATGTTAGGAAGACCAACTGGTCTCTATATAACTTCTATTTAGAACAAAACATTAGTTGTCTTGGGAATAGGA